AAGTTTTTGACATATTTGACCCCTGTGACCTTGAAAACAGGTCAAGGTCATTTTCGTTCTCAAACTTTGTAGGGCTCCTACCAACGAAGCTTTCAGCCAAATATCATGACTCTAGGCCTTTCCGTTCTTCAGAAGAAGTTGTTTAAAGGAAAAGTTGACGGACGAGGACGGACGCCGGACGCCGCGCCACGGCATAAGCTCACTTGGCACTTCGTGCCAGGTGAGCTAAAAATCAAAAAATCTTTGAAAATAGTACAGAATCCCTTACAAATATTTTTTGTATACAGGTGACAGAGACAGATAATAACATGCCATAGTCAAAAGTTTACTTCTATAAATTATTACCAAACACTGGTTACTTTTTCAGTTATGCTGATAAGCTATTACGATTCAGTGGTTTTAAATTTCATATTAGAATGTCAATCGACAGAATTGAAAACTCCTCTTGTCCAAAAAATATTTTCTGTAGCTCCTTTCCCAAAGACTATTTGTACACCCCTTGATACTGAAACTAAATTTGTTCTCTAGAGGCATCATTTCATTGTCTCAAGAATAGATACAATCGCGCAAAACATCCTTCTAATGCGGCAATCATACCATCAGCTTCCTTCATCTTAGAACAGAGGGTGAATGTTCCAATGACGGCCTTGAATTGTGGTTGGTTGACTAGGGTGTTAAACCACCTGTTCACATTGCCAAATGAGTCTCGGAATGATGGATCCATCACCTGCGAAAATTCAAATGTAAATATTTCTTTATTACAGTATTAGAAAAGTAAAACATCAGACTAATTTTTTATCAAAATTTTCGTGTTTTACTATAGATGTAATGACTACCAGGGGTCAATCTAGGTTTTAGGGGAATCTACCCTTTTTCAGATTTAGGGGAAATTAAAATTTTGCTACAAGGCTCTAGCGTCATGAAGGTGAAAGTTAATGTTTTGTCCGACATACACGAGTGCAGTGTATTTCAATTTACAAACAATTACAAGATGTTTTGCTTAAATTATGAGGAGAAGATGCATTTATGCAGTATTATGCATTGTAACTGTTAAAACTTTAAAGAAAACAAATGGGGAAATATTTAGAAGAAAAAAAACGCTATTTTCTTGTTGAAATAGGGGAATTTTGAAACGCATAAGGGTGAATTTTCCTCTAGGGAAAACTACCCATAAACGGTAGTGAATCAAGTCTAGATTGATCCCAGCCTACTTACATTTTGGTAAGCGAGCATGAGGTTACAAGCAAGACTGATGTCGGCTTGGGATATGCGCTCTCCAACGAGGTAAGTTCTTGTCCTCATGTAGTTGTTAAGCACAGTCATAGCATTTTTCATCTGCTCTTTTGCCTTCTCACCCTCCTGAAACAAAGAACACAAATTTCATACATGGTAAAGATTTATACATTTTGCTAAACAAGGTTTTCACTGTAAGCTTTACCAAGCATAAAATGATAAACACTTCTCAGGTGTCAAAATGAATTTTTTAGTTACTCGAGACAGAGTAAAATATCCACTTGCTAGTTAAAGGAAACAGAAAAGCAAATTTTATGGCAGGTAAAGGATAAGCTGTCGATTTTAGAATCAAGAGGTCCAAGAACCAAGATCCCCATAGCCCGTGACTCTTCTACTTAAGTGTTTTTTTCATGAAAAGGAATTTATTATTAAAAGCATTTTTTTTCTATTGTAACTCAATAATGGGGCATGAAACTCAATGTCAAAATTAGCACATTTCTACATCGGAGATACAACACGGAACTAAGACTTTCTACATGAAAACAAATTTAAATATCGAGTATTTGTTTTACCTGCTTGTTGAATGGTGTTATCCCCAATGTAGGAAACACCCAGGTGCATGACGCTGGGTAAACTTCATTGTCACCGAAGTTAATCCATTGCTGGATCAGAGCCTGGTCACGGGTGTTACTTCCTTGGAGCTTAGCATTACCAACTGCAAACACAATCAAAACAAATTTGCATTAAAATCAACTTTCAATTTTTAATAACATGCTGCGCCAGATTATTTTTGATTAAAACTAGAAATATGTCAAAATGACACGAAAGTCACCGAATCTCCTGTCAATCAAAATGGTCTAACAATGACCAGGTGTAAATACATACACGCTGTTTAGGTAGCCATGCCAACACATGGAATTAATAAGAAACCATGTGGCAAATATAACGTTAGATTGACGGAGACAGCTGCTGACACGGTCACCTGGCATGGGCAGAACAGGTAATTGCAATATAACGATGTTGTTTTCACAACAATAGGTTTCAGAAAAAATTCAATCTTATATACGAATAAATCTTCTACTTTTTTTTGTTATAAAATACACTTTTCCAAGTAGTTTTCTGATTGTCTGCAAATCCGACCGAATTGGACATCGATATAAGCAGATTGTGTACTTTTAAAATCAGTGACTCAAACAGGTCCAATGAGGACTGCCAACAGCCAAATTTGCGAGACACGAAGAATACCAAACAATTGTGATTACAGTAATTCTCTTTTGAAAAGAAAAGATCGGAATGTATTTGGCCGTTTTGAGCCCGTTAATATTTATTTTCAAACTCTAACTTTTATCATAATCGGTTCAATTCGCATGAATGTCACCTTGTGAATTCCTGACGCTTAATAGTATCACGCAACCTTGACTCTTTGCGGTACACAAACTTGCAAACTTCGCCACTTTCCCCATGTCGTTTTGACACATTCCTACTGTCAAGATTGAATAGTTCAGCATGATTTTACTCAAGAACGACATTTTAACTAACACCAGAGTGCTAATTACGATGCAAATCTTCGTTATGTTTCCCCATACGCGGTATTTATCAATTCACAACGTAACGTCCTGAAAAGTTGGGCCTACTTTACTAGAGTTTATTTATCCGATTCTATCGTATAATATGACTTAAACTTGCAACTTTTCATAATAGTTAAATTGGGTAATTCAACGAAATTTAGCAGTTTACTGCTGCGAGCATATTTCGAAACATTTCCGAAAAGCCTCGAAAAGGTCGCGAATAAGGACTGGTTTTGGATTGTTCTCGAGTATAGACTTTTAAAAATTAGTGTTCACCCTTTTCTTGACATTTCATTTATCCTTTAAAAAAAGTGTGCACTATACGCAAATATTAACGGTAGGCGTAGATCAGACATAAAATATCTAAACCAATCAATAGCAATTGATCATATAACAGTCTACCCTTCGGGAACCTCAAATGTGCCCGATTCATATTCTGAATTAAAAATCCAACAGATAACAGTTTTTTTTAACTTGCGACTGTCAGACGAACAGTGGTAAGTATAACAAATAAAAGTATTACTTGTATGAAATCTGTCAAGTCTGTTTTATTTACCTCCATTTCTTACACACAAGTCTAGCAAGAACAAATATGCCTTTGATGGAGGGACAACTAACATGCAAGTTTTTTCTCTCTCCTATTATTCAATATCAACAAAGTCAATATATTCGTATAGTCTTTTGGGTGTTTGTTTACAAATTATTACCACAGGAATACACCCACCCCCCCTCTTAATACAAAGGCACTCCATTTATTGTGCCCTTTTTGGCACTGTAATAGATGACACTATAATTTTCTTTCTTTTCCTCAGTAACTTTTTTCACAGCTTCAAAACTTCTAGTCAAGTTGTACATTAAAAAGAACTGTTTGACAACTGAAACCAAGCACTACAAAGAAATGTAGTACTGTTCACAGTTAAATCAGTTGGTCAGTTTAATTTACCTCCAGTTCTTACACACAAGTCCAACAAGGACAAACATGCCTTTGAAGGAGGGTTATAATTTAAGTTACTCTTCAAGTCTCCAAAGTTGGCAACCATTTTGGCAGTTACTGCAAAATACAGCACCTTCACGGCTTGTTTAAATAGACCAGAAAAAACAGTTTCAAAAGATGTCATCAACATCTTATACTAAAACTTCATTCAGAAATACTCGCATTAGTCAACTTTACAAAAATAAATTCTGCAGAAATCTATATTAAATTTTCATATAGATTTTGTCTTTAATATCAATTTTACCATTTTGTAGTTAACTTTATCTCAAAATTGCAGGGACCAATCTAGGTTTTAGGAGATACTGCATTTTTTCAGGTTTTGGGGAAATTTAGAATTTTGATACAAGGCTCTAGCGTCGACTCATGAAGGTAAAAGATAAATGTTTTGTCCGACAAAGATGTGTGCAGTATATTTCAATTTGTAAACAATTTTAAGCTTAAAATTGTAGAATTTTTGGTTTAATTATCTGAAGAAAATGTATATATGCATTATTATTGTTGAACTTATGAATATGGAAAGAATTTTGAAGAATATTGCTATTTTCTTGTTTAAATAAGGGTTTTAAGGGAATTTTTAAGGGGTAATTTCAAAGAACAGGGGATTTTTTCTGTAGGGGAAACTACCCATATCAAGTCTAGATTGATCCCTGCATTGTGATATCAAATTATCTAAAATAAGAAGAGCAAATAATTGGATTCAGTTGTGGTTATAACTTTCCCCTTTCAACAATTTTTACTTTCGTGTCAATACTTCTTTTACAACCTAAAAAAAGGCTTCCATTAAAAATTAACTATACCCCTCCACATTTTCCAATCTTTTGAAATTTACTGAATAGACATCTTTCACAGCTCAAGAAGTTGAGTATATGTCTACATTAACTGTATATTGAAAAGAACTGTAGGACAACCTGAGCCAAGCAATACTAAGAAATGTATTACTCTTAAAATTTAAATCAGTTTGTCTGTTCAATATACCTCAATTTCTTACACACAAGTCCAACAAGGACAAACATGCCTTTGATTGAGGAATAAGATGAAACATGGCATGGCCCAGACACGTCCTTAAAAATGATAATTGTTATTCCCTGCATAACGTTCAGCATTAAGGGTAATGGCAACAACTGGTTCACCCGTTGTTAGTAAAATGTGACCAGGCGGAATACTGTGCTGGATGTCTTAAAATCTTACCGTATTGGGCTATGGCATTACTTTCGAAGACACAATCACCATTGCTGCTCTCAAAGGCTGGAACCTTGTAAAGTATATTTGACATTTATTATTTTCATACAAAATTTATCAAAATCTCATTCTATTCAATTACCACAGACTTTGATATTACATATGATATTTACTGTTTTTTTTAGAGCAAGACTATAATCCAATTATTAGTAACGATACATACAATTTGAAGTGGATGTGATGTGGCACCCGACAAGGAGGGATACATTAACATGATTAATATATTTGCTTTTACATTATTGATAACAGGTCAGAATTTTTCATAGACATGCCTGAATCACAGGTGCTTGCCTCGTCTGTCAAATACATCCATATTATACGAGTGTTATGACAGAGTCTAGCTCCTGTGCCCGAATTTCAGACATGACGCAACTTCCTCGCAACAGCTAATGTGATAAGTATTGTTAGTGTATCTTTATAATCCTACACGAAAACACTGTACTGTACTCTTTGATGTGTTATTAAGTAATGAAGTTTTCGTGTGGGTTTGGTTCCACTCCCTTCAAATTTCATTCAGTGGCTGTGAATTATGCTAAACGAACCGAAATCTCATACAAACCTTTCCAAGAGGAAATTTGTCCAAAAACTCTTTTGTAGTATTAGATACTCCTAATTTGAAATCAGGAGAGACCGTAACTTTTGCACCGCTGTACTTAGCAGCGATAAGTGCCTTGTAAGCACGAAAGTTTTCGGGGTACGTGTACAGAGTCTGAAATAAAAGAGAACAAAATAATGACAAAACCGTATGCTTCTCGCATCAATCTTTTAATTTTTAAACATACTGAACTTATTGTTATCGAGATTGAACTGTAATACGGGCGATTGCATGTCAGTTGCCACGATTACATACCCCAGTCGCCATTGCACCGGTAGAAAGAGGAAGCATTTACCTATATCCTGTTTGACTTGCGCAAACAGCAACATTCTATGAGTAGAACCCGGATGTTGGTGTCTGGGCCCAGGGAATCGCAATATTTTACCTGTCGTATTAGACACAGCAAGCTACAAAAATGGTAAGATATGGGGACTATTTGACTTGGAAATTGTTCACACTGCAAAAAATGCACGCATATTTGATCGCACACGAAATTTGAAAAATATCCATTGTGTATGTGAACCGAAATAAGACCGAAAGGTCCCGTTATCAGATCGGAACCGAATCAACTTGTTCATAATCCGTCGCTCACTCGAGTTACATTGATAGATTCTGTAGCTAGGGTTTGTGTAGTGTCACCTTCCTAATTGTTTAATTTTTGACGCATGGCCAGAGTTTAAAGCTTAAGTTTAATAATTACAAACCCGCGAGTGTTTTGTATGATGTATATATTTAGAGCGGTCATCACTTCAGCAGCTGAAATGCAGCTGATTATCGCATATAAACCCTATGACTATTGAGATTAAATATTCAAATTCCCTTTTCAGATGTAACTGATGCTTCCATATCAAAATTTGAATATATTTAAAAGAAGCAGTATTTTTTTCCCGAAGTTATATGTTTTGACGTGTGTATTATGATAATTCTGAGAAAGATGTCAGAAGATCAAGAAATTCTTCAGGTCAATTAGGTTTCAAGAATAAATTACTAATATAGTAATACCCAGTCCTCATTGACATCGTCCTGTTATAATTGTAACAATGAGGATTTTTGTAGATTAAACACATCAACAAACTCTGGTATGAGAGTTTGCAGATTTATTATTCGTGCATATTCATCAATTCTATCAACATAAATGAATTACCCTGCAATTGTATAAATATAAATAAATACAAAAATAATCTTTATTTAATGTCATGTACATTGTCAACAACAAGCATAAGCTATATAGAGCTTTTATTACAATGCCGCTAAGGGAACCAAAATTCTTGGTAGAGTTAGTGGTCTGAAGCTCACGCTTGATTGCACACAGTAGAAATGGCTGTGCATTAGCGATATGAAATGGCTACAGAGGCATAATAATTATATTTCAGATACATATACACTTATCTCATTATGCACATATACATGTAGCTTAATATAAATTTACAAGTTATCTAAGAAGATGTTACATGTAAGAATATAGGTCTATAAATTCCAAAAGTTATATTACCTCTAGATTTACATTATACTCAACAAAAAGGGTTGAATTGACTGAAATTTCAAAAATCTTCTTCTCAATACCCGGATATGGTAGAATCAAATACTCTTCATAGATGGAAGGGTCTTAAGGTGCTTTACCAAAATTGTGAATTTCATGACCCTTTGGTCTCACATTTAACCCTGGGGAGGGGGTAATCTTTGTAGTTTATATAGGGTCATCACATTTTGGACCAACATTTATTATGGTTTATAATGGCAAATGATACTTTGAATATTATATGTTAATAACTTGATTGGAATTATAACCCTGAGTTGACAGTTTGATACTTTGAACATTTTGAGCCAGCCCTTCCCCCAAGAGCTGTAGGGTGTGGGGCCCAAAGGCGTCAGTGTGCTAAAATTTCTTCATTTTCCTTGTTTAGAATCAGAGGTGCTAGTTTCAAATACCTTCTGGTCTTAAATCTGTATGCTAGATATTGAATAAGGTGGTTTTATTGTTTTTAGCTCGTCGGGTCCGAAGGACCAAGGTGAGCTTTTATGCCATACCGTGGCGTCCGTCCGTCAACAATTTCTTTAAACGACTTCTTCTTCTTAACCACTTATTGGAATTTAACTAAATTTGACTGGAAGCATCCCTAGGTGGTGGGGATTCAAAATTGTACAAATGATGGGGCTGACCCCCTAGGGGGCTGAGGGGCGGGGCAATAAGGGGG